GGCTGGATTGTTTTTAACACAAGCAACGTTTTTTTAAATCATTATCTTAAACAGATTAAGGCTCATTTTGGACTACACTTACATTACTTTACAACTGCTTAATGCAGTACTGATGTATCTAGTAGTTTAGTGGGTTTAACTAATGTCACATCTGTTTTTATTCATTTCAGATGCAGAAACTTTTGACATATGAATTCATCTTGACTAAGGGTAATGTTTTTGTTCAGAATTAATCATTATTTAAAATAATTGTATTTTCTTTGTTATTATGTACAGATTTTAAAAGAATGTACTTTCGTTTAATAAAGAACTCTTCACAGCACTGCAGCTAAACAGTCACAACCTCACAGAGCTGCACAACTGCCCCACTCAGATCAGTGTTGAAGCTGGAACCTCATCTTGTGTACAGCAAAGGCAGAGCTGAAAATTCACTGTTTGTCTTGTATTGTGTGGTAAGTCATAGTTTTATTAATTTTTTTATTTTATTGCAACACTAAGTAGTCCATTCTGTGGCCAATATGATATAAAGGGCCTAAAATGGGACTGACGTGATCATTGTTTTGATTTCTAGATAAGTACTCATGGGGCTACACATGCAGCTGAAGTTAGCTTCATTGAGTAGGACATTTCTTTCAGTATACTCTTAAAGAGATTCACCCAAAAATGAAAATTCTGTCATTATTGACTCATCCTTCACTTGTTCCAAATATGTCTGACTTGCTTACTTCAGTTAAACACAAAAAAAATATATTTTAAAGAAAGATGAAAACCTGCAAACATTAACTTCCATAGTATTTGTTTTTTCCTACTATGTATGTCAATGTTTTCATTTTTCCAGCTTTCTTCAAAAAACTTCCTTCATGTTCAACACAAAGTAACTTGGAAGTTTTTAAAAAAGGTTTACAACCACTTAAAGGAGAGTAAATAGTGAACTGTTCCTTTAACCCAATCTAGTTGACTTTACTAGAAAATTGTATAGAAACCCAGTGGCTTAAACCCCTTACATTTTATACAAGGTACAACTTAACAGCCATACTTGAATTAAAATATTACTGTAAGTTCAAGAAGATTGTAAAGGTTCTAGGTTAATTTAAAGTGGGCTGTTTAGTTTCACCTTGTGTAAAAACATAAAGGGTTTAAGGCAACATGTTTCGATGCAGTTTTCTAATAAAGTCAACTAGTTTGGGTTAAGAGTGTAATGGGTTACAGTAATAGCAGTGAATCATGCAGGCATAAAATAAATGTTTAGCCTTGTAAAACAATAAGCTTGTTATAATTTAGAAATATTTTAGGGTGAAGCACAGTATGCTGTTGTAGTTTTCATATAATTGATGAGTCAAACATGAGATGTGTTTTAAATTGCAAGACGTGAATTAACAATATGTTCATCAAGATTCAAATCTTGCATCTTATATTTTTTAAGGTTTTGGCCCAATAATACCCATATTCTGCTATTTAAAAAATCATGCTGGAATTTGTGTCAGCATTCCCTTCAATGAAAACTACAGCAGTGGACATCAGTGGTGATAAAAATGTATGTGAAGGATAAGGGTGTTCATAATGAGAAGTGCAGTCACTATCCTGATCTCTGAGTTTGTAGAACTGACAGATCTGCTTGGAATACATGGAAACATGCTGGAAATGTTTAACTTATTATACAGTTAATTCAAGAGTGCCAGGTGTAATGACACTTTACATATATAAATAAATATCACTGAACTTTCTAAATGAAACCTAACACTCATTCTTTGTTCAGTAATGATGTTGTGCACTTCTAATACTTTACAGTGGCAAAACCTGGAATAACACATGGGAGCCCTCCAGGAATTCCTGACACTTTACACCCAAGTCTCCTCATGCTAACCGGATTGCAATATGACAGTCTAGTCAGCATAAACACCTGGACTCACCAAGCACACTTTGGTTCTCAGTGTTTTGTAAAAATAGTTTTTGCTATTCTTCAGTAAATACTTGAATATGTTTTGAACTTATTCTACTTTTGATGTTTAAGTTCAGAAAGTTGTTATTATAAACATAATTTGCATTTGTCATGAACTTGACTTCTTGTTGTTGTGAAAGCTGTTTATTATGATGGCATTTCCAAAGGCATCATTTGAAAAGATTTTTTGCAGTGCAGTTTTACTTGAGCTTGACATACCAGATGTATGACATGAATAAATATCACAAAATAAATATAATAATAATAATACAAAATATACATTTCCTTCAATTATAACTGTTTTTAATCATTTATATATGTATGGTAATATATTATTGCATTAAAAAACTTATAAAATATATATTTTTGGTTAAAATATATATTTTTGCATTTTTGTGTGATTTTTATTATTTTTTTTTTATTTGTGGCATTATAAATAAATTATAAATGTTTCATTAAAAATGTATTGTGTTAATTTGCATACTCATTTACAATGAACTACTATTTATACTATTTAATGGGCACTATATTTGTCATTTAAGTTTGACATATATTTATATTTGTATACCTACATGATGCAGGGTTTAGTTACAGCAAATGCTTGAAATGTTTTCAAACATGAAGCTTTTTTATTATTTTATTATTCGTTTCAAATTAAGTATACTGCCTATGATCTGGTTTTACTATGATCATTTTGCACATCAGGTTACCCCCACAAATTAATCTCACGGTAAATATACATTTGTATTTTTAATAAGACAATAAATAACATGTAATATTAATACACATTTTGATATTTAAGTTATATTATAAGGTTATAATCAACCTTCAGCCGGAAGATTACCAAATAGAGACAAAGTGTGACGTAGATTGCGACGTTGTGATTGGACTATAACTTCAAAGCCAAATTAAAAGATCCTTCGTGTTGCTAACTATGTTTTGCTAACTTTGCCACTTTACTAACAGTGTCCTTTATCAATGAGTTATCGCTGTGTTTTAAATAGTTAACGATTAACCAAGATCGTAACCCTAAACTTAACCCTAACTACACCTTTCAAGGAACTACAATTTGTAGCGCCATGTCTTTCCCCTCCCATCTATACAGCGACAAAGGATTGTGGGTAATGTAGTTTAAAGCCTTTTTGTAATAAAATGGAACAGATACAAATTTTAATGAACTAAAGACTATCTGAATAAGGTCATTGTGCATATATTTATGACATATATGAAAGCCAGGCATAAATTTGTTATTTTACAATGAGTATTTTTTATACAGCTTTTATTGACTATATCAGATATATATCAGTATATATCAGACTATTATATCCAACATTATTTATTGAACATAGCATAGGTAATAGTCTTGCTGATATTCTCTCACTCATTTCTCGTTTGAAATGTGAATACTTTTTCCTTTTCTACGGGGCTCTACTCATCCCCTTTGAGTAAAAGGGCAGTTAACCTATGTAGATGTATTATCTTCAACATGGACAAGAAATTGCATTGTCACATGTACAGTTGTGGTAAAAAAAAAAAAAAAAAAGCTGTAAAAATAAGCTAAACATTAGTATCCTCTTTAATTACAAGTTATAAGCAATAGTGATCTATGTTCATCACAAATGTTATGAGTTCAGAATAATATGTGTGGATGTAATTCTGTAAGTGTGTTTCATTAATGGTCATCATGTGATATTTAATTGTTTTCACTTTATTTGAAATATGGATAAAAGCTCTTTTAAAATATGTAAATGTTTATAAATAAAACCTTTTTAAAGACATGTATTTGTTTAAAAACCAGTCTTTATCTGATTATTTTTACTTTCTAAATCTTCAACTGTTTGTGTAACAGTATGATTTGATGACAATGGATGAACTTGTGTTTAAAAATGATTCCACATAATGTCTTTGTCCTGCATGTGGGTTAATTTGTTAATTATTTTCTTTATGATCAAATGATTGTAAGATTTGCTGCATTGTAAGAATCATGAAAATATTGAGAAATGAGGTAACAATGATGAAAAGATATCCTTTCAAATGCTGCGAATAGTTCAAACCTCCAAATGATTAAAAATACATAGCCATTAACCAACAAAATAAAAATGCAAACATTTAAATTATCTAAACTAGAAGTAAAATTGTTCTGTGCTGTATTTATAAGTTACTGTGTAGTTCTATGTCTACCAAAAATACATATTTCAATACATATTTTATTTTCATTCATTCATTTTCTTTTTGGCTTAGTACCTTTATTAACCAGGGGTCGCCACAGTGCTATGAACCGCCAACTTTTCCAGCATGTTTTTATGCAGCAGATGCTCTTCCAGCCGCAATCCATCTCTTGGAAAATATTTTATTATTTATCTTGCATTCAATAAAACATTATACAAAGTTAATTTTTATTTTCAGAATAACAACAGTCGCACTGTTATCTCACAACAAGTGCAGCAGTTTTTTGTTAGACATTCTAACAAATTAATACAAATGTTTCAAAGGACAAAAATAAAAGGAGATTAATTTTTTTTTTTTTTTAGAAAAATCCATGAGGACCAAATGGATCCATCAGATCTTTGATGTAAATCATAGGTTAATTTTTCCAGAGGTAGAAGTGTGGTTGCCTGACTCAGCCACATATTGACTGGAGGTATCTGAGCAGTTGACCATAATAATGTACATTTTTTGCCCAAGTATATGCAAAAATTAAATTTATCATAAAAATGTATCATAAAATTAATATTTTAAAAGCTCTTAATGTCACTTAATGTAATAATTTCATTTTAATATAGAGTTCCTTAAATCGTTATATGTTGTAAGCAGTTAGGCATACAATAATGCTCTTAATTTACAACACTGATTGATTTTAGAGGAATGCTTACATACTGTACATATCTATGTATTTAAAAAAAAAAGACAATTTGGTTATAGATGATGACAATTTTATTTAAGTTTTTTACAGATTTTATTACATGCTTTAGATTCAGGGTTAAGGTCATCCTCTTCTGGATTACAGTAAAAGAAAATCCACAGTCAATGTCATACTCATCAGCTGGAGCTTTATTTAAAAAAAATCTATGTTCTCTGCTCCAGCCAAAACTTGCAGGTACCTTGCAGGTCTCTAGATTGCACCATCGTATTGTTGTTTATTTCTCAGTTATTTTGTTGCTTTTTGAGAATGATGATCCATAGACCTTTTAACCCTTCTTCGTTAAGGCCACATGTCGAATCTTAAAAGAAGAACACAACAACATAAAAATATATTAATATCCTTTGGACTGGGTAACCTTATGCTTATGTCTGTGCCAAAAAATACAAATACATACCAGTACATTTCAGTAGCAAACAAGCAAGAAAGTTCTTTGAAAGAACCAGGATGAGTTGAAAGGTATTTATAGTGGTTGACCATCTCTGCCACAAGAATCCACTGCTTCTCCTGAAGAATCCTGACTAGCAGGATGATGTTGAACACCCTCTCTTTGTTGCTGGGTCAGCAGAGTCTGAAATATATTTATAAAAAGAGAGTTGTATAACAAGGATTATACGTCAACTTTTAAAGAATCATATGACAAAGACATCCATATCACTTCTTCTTTTTGTTGTCTTTGCTTCTGCTACTGAAAAAAAATGACAGTAATAGTAACACAATTTTTCATGACTACATGTAATATTAATAAGAATTTCCTCACCCTCTGCCCACTCCTCTACATCACAGACCAAAGTCTTCCAATTGGTTTCCAGTCACTGCCAGTTTCATGGATTCTGTTTTGCAACTTGCTTTGCAGAGCTGTTGCGGTCTACAATGATAAGCAATCAAAAAAATCACAATACTATTTAAATAGGTTACTGAACAACTAAAACAAATTCAACTGGATATTGTTACCTTCTGATATCAACAGGTCAGCGAGATGGCCAAATTGTTGAATATCTGCTAATTCCAGCACATGACCATGAGAGTTACAGTAGCATGTCTGGTCACTGCAATCCTATAGAAGAAATATTGCACTGTTCAACCTCCTTCCCAAAAGTAAAACCAGGCATATCCTGGTATGCCTCACTCCATTTCACCTGGTTAACATATACAAACAAACAAACAAACAAACAAACAAATAAATAAATAAGTAAACCAATAAGTTTAGGCATTTACTTGTAGATCAGTTTAAGACAATCACATAGTTCATCTATCTCAGATATAAACTCATGTGATTAGGCATGAAACACACTAAAATCATGGGCTTAAAGATGGTGCTGAAACTTTGGACAGCTTTTTGCAACTCTTTGGAGGTAGTGTCATTAGTTGATGTAGTCCACAAATCTTCCAGTCAATTCTTAATCCTTAGCTGTAAATAAACCTTCAAAAATGCCAGTGTTTGAAAAAGGAATGAAACAGTACAGAACAAGTGCATAACAGTTTATATCTTCTAATCTAATTTTCTTAGGTGAACATCACAGAGCTGTTTTCTTGTTAATTTAGTTTTAACACATACAGTTTAAAGTACCTCGTGCATTCTTGAAATGGTTATGCTTATGGTTCATATCTACTTAAATTGGCAGTATATCTAGTGTGGAAGCAGAACAGATGAAGGGCTCTTCCTTGCAAATACTATCCACCTTGTATTGCACAGACTCCCACTCAAGAATATCTCAGAAAAATGTCTGCTGAGATCTTAGCAGTCCATTAAAAATAATTATACCAACATCTTTTCCACCAATGGAAAGAATATAAAAATACTTTAGGATATATTAATACTTGCATGACCAAATCTGAGATAAAAAGGCCATCAGTATGCCTTAGTTTAAATAAAACCAAAATTTTACTCTAGCCCACTGTCACCTAGGTCTACAGATACAGGGACTAATGGAAACAATGAAGTACACACTGACAGTCACTGGAGCAAGGCCCTCTCACAGTTGGGAAGATTGGAGTTCCTATGAGCTGTACCAGATAAAAACAACAAAAAAAAGTACATTTATAACATTTCTAACTTATCCTAAGACTAGTAGACAAGCAGCATAAGCAGTTCTAATTTCCTAAACCCCAATGTGGGCAGTTGATGGCCTATAAGGTGTCATAAAATCAGACAAAACAAAATACTTTCTGAAAAAGAAAAAAAATGGTTGGCCACTATCAACACCCAGAACAATTAGTTTTAAACAGTTAGGCCACAATATTTTGTGAGCTTATGCTGTAATTTTTTTATGTTTGTCATAAACAATAGTAATAGTAAAACTAATGCGTTTCTTTCTGTTATTACAATAGTAGTGAAAGAATAAATGCATTTTATCTCATACAATCACATATGCCTAAACAATGTAGATATTTAATATACATGGAATGAAAAACTTCACTAACCCTTGACTGATTCCAGAGTGGTCTTGGCCTTCCTTACATGGTGGTGCTTTCTGCAGATCACCAAGTTGTCATCAAAACTTGAGCTTATAATTGAGATCTTGATGATAAATCTGAGTATTGAGGAATCACTCATGGTGATAGGCAGAAACAGGCTGAAAGACACAAGAATTAATCAAACAAATATAAATGTGTTAACAGATATAGAGAGACAAGTGCAATTTAACATATAAACATGGGTAAAGTGATTTAACTTTTTGCTTATTAGAAAACAAAATTGGATTTTTAAAGAAATCTAAAGAACCTGAAAAGAGCAAAGAAAAAATATTCATATCTGAACAGTAAACACCTTATAATGTACACCTGTATATATATATATATATATATATATATATATATATATATATATATATATATATATATATATATATATATATATATATATGTGTGTGTGTGTGTGTGTGTGTGTGTGGTAGATTAAGCTATTTTTTTGTTTAGTTTTGTGTTGTACAATGAATAAAATGTGCTCAGACGGGCAAAATTTCTGCCTTTTTCCTTTAAAGGCATGGAAAATAATTGTTTTTACAATAAACCTTTGGAAACACTTGATGTTCTTTAATATTGAAACAATTACGAATACATTTGTATTATTAGAGTTGCATATTGCATATTATATATAGATTTTGCACGAATTCTATTGTGGAAAACAACAATCTGGTTACACTGTTCCTTATCTTAAAATGTATATATTGTTCTAATGCATGACCAACGTTATATGTGAGAAAAATATGTTTTTAATAAATAAACTTCATGTAATTAGATAACGTCGCTAGTTTACAGTACATGCTTTATCAACAAATCGTCTTTATTTGTTTACTTTTTACTTACCTTGTGGAAAACCGCAGTGAACCTTGGGATCGCAATGAACCTTGGGATAGCGAGCATAGACTGTAAAAAATAGATCGCCACATACAATGACCCCAACTTTAATAAATAATTTAAAATGAAAAATATCAGCCGAAAACATTTTTAAACTTAGTACTTGAAATTTAATATTTTTTTAAAGTACAAAATAATAAATAATATGAATGAATCAAAGTTTTATTAGGCATAGTTACCCTAAACTGGACAACCGAATATATTTTCACTCATTAAATATAAAGTAAATGATAAAATATTTATAAACACCAACTAATCTCCAATAAAAATATATTATGCAGCATTAACGTAATATTTAATGTTGACAGTTGAACTCATCTGAGAACTCACCGCTGATGCAGTTTGACCAATAGCAGAGCGGCGTTAAACTCACCGTGAAGGGATGTCACGTGGGCCGAAGTTTATTCATACAGTAGTTTCGACCCCGTTTACAGACGCTTTTCATAAACAAAATAAAAATTACATATTTTTAAAATAAGAAAACTGTGATAATAGGCGTAAATCAGGTTTTAAAAAGTTTGTTGACATCTATTGGTAATTATACGAGCCTCCAGCGTCTCCCTATGACGCCTCAGGCTCAGGCACAGATTCTATAGGGAATCCCTGCACGTCTAAATATGACGCTAAAGGGGTACCCTGTGCGTCAATAACTGACGCCGAGGGTTCCTGACCAAGCGTCAGTATGTGACGAGTTGGGAGTGAGAACGTGTTGGTATTCCTGTTGGGTATAAATATTTCAGTCTCCCACTGTATTATGCAGCTCCAAGTAGTAGGTGTGTTGTGTAATAGCTAGTAGCTAAAAACGGAAAGCCTACAGTGTCTGTCTGCGCATTATAATCTTCTCTGCTCAGTTAGTCAGTGATTTGTTATATAACACACAACGCATGTTATACACAGAACTGCTATTAATCATACTTTGAGCATGTTTACATTGAGGCTTACATTCCTGTCAACATTGTGATGTAAAAATACAGTATAGCCATGCCACCAACCAAAAAATACAACAACAAAAACCTCAAACCTACACAGAGGAACTCCCAAAACGAACCAAAACTTCTTTAATCTGTTAATTCAGGGCAGCTTAATTGTATATAAGTCTAGTTAAAACCGTTACAAATATGGAGAGGAAATTATAGCTTAAATTGATAGAATACATAACAAACATTAGAACATCTTGAAAATAAAGGTTTAGCCTATTAAAACCAAAAGAAATTAAATCAAGTCATTTAACTTTGTTCACTTTTTGTTAAGCGACAGATGCTAAAGGCCATGGTCTTAGAGAGGCCACATTGTTAGAGCAGCCGACTTCCATACAAAGAATCACCGGTTCGATCCAAGCTCAAACTGGGTTGGGTGCAGTAGGACCGGTGGGTTACACGTGCCATCATCCAGGATGGGAGTGAGGTTTAGGGGGCTGAGTTTATCAGAGGCCAGCTAGTGAAGTGCTATGCAGGTAAACCTCACTCCTCTGATCTCAAAAGGTGCTCTAGCGGAAGATGATAGAGGCTATGGTCTTTAGCCTTTTTGTTAGAGCAACCGACTCCCATACAATGAATCGCCGGTTCGATCCCAGCTCAGACCGGGATGGGTGCAGTAGGACCGGTGGGTTACATTCATCAAATTTGAATATTGATTAAAGTTACTTAAGTGAAGAGCAGCGAATCTCTCATTTTGATCCACTGTTTTTGTTTGATAACAGAGATGTCCCCTTAAGAACGCACAGATCTATAATGAAAGTATTTGATTACTGATTGTGCTCGTCTAAGTTAAAACTATTTGTGTTTAAAATAAAACACAGAGGACAGATGTTTACATCTTATTAAGTGTATTTGTCTGTTTAAAAACACACTTAAGAAGCTGGTCTGGGAACAACGTTTTTTTTAATCACTATGAAGCACGTCCGTCAGTCACCACCGTTACATGAATGGACAGATTCAGAGGTCGCATAGGAAAGGTGACAATTGATGCATAGCTTTGATGAAAATTAAGTGTATGTGGCCGTTTTAATATTAATTTCAAGCCGCACTAAAGCGAAAACATAGTGCTCTTGAATAGCAGTTGCAACACTTTAGATTAATTAACAATTCACACATTAACAAGACTCAAACAAATGGTTTGCTGTTTGTTCAAACTACTTATTTAAAATGAGCTGAAACAACAAAACTCTTAATTGTTGTATGTTAAATCCACTTCAATTTGTAACGAACAAGTTAATTAATTCCTTCATGTTGTCCCAACACAAATTAATCGTGTCAAACCCAGCATTTTTACCTTCAATAGGCTTAATACCTTCTTATTATTCAAATATTTATGCTGCATCCGAAACCGCATACTTTAATACTATATAGTCCGCTAAAAAGAGTATGCGAGCCAAGTAGCATTGATATTATTCGAAAAACCGTAAGTGAGATGTACCCAGATGTATTACTACTTCCAGCGAGATTCTGAAGTCCGCATCGAATGGATGCTAAGCTATCCCATGATGCAACACGAGAGAATTCATGAATGGGAGTGAAGCGACACAACTGACACGAATAGGTCACGCGATAATGACAAAATAACGGATGTACATCCAAGTTTCATTCATACTACTCACATTCATACTCTATAGAACATACTTTTCTAACGACCGAGTAGAACGTTTAAATTCAAATTCAGAACCTACTGAGTTGGTGATTTCAGACACAGTTTTAGTGTTTATTATTAGATTCTAAAGTATGATCTTAGTCTACATTCCTAATTCGACTCAATAAATAAATCACCACTACCTTGCTACCTATTATTAAGCAGTTAATTAGTAGTTTATTGAGCTAAATGTCTTAGTTAATGGTTGTTAAAAGCAAGAATTGGACTTTAAAATAAAGTGTGACCAAATAAGCTCACTGAAATAACTCTCTGTCACAGTTTACATGCAAACCAATAAGGAAATGCAAATACAGCATATTTACAAGGGGTTAATAATAGTTCAGCTTGTTTCCAGGATAGTGGTGTCAAAGTGTGATACTTTAAGTATTTAATTTGTTAGTTGTCATGTTAAATAAATTAATAACAGAAGACGAGAATTGAAATTTACGGCTCACCTATTATTATCATTCTTTCGGATGTTATGCAGTTTTTTGATTTTAGCACTTCTAGCCAAACTACATGAGATGAGAACACATTTTTATAGTTATCTGGGTCAAAAAAACATCTGAAATTGTGATATTTCTCCTCCTCTGTTTAAGGTGCCATCATTAAATGTTAAATTAATATCTACATATTAGGTATGTGGCTTAGATAAGTTCAAAATTTCTCCACAAATGGTTTAAAATGCTCATTTAGAATCACAGAAATTACCCATAGCTTGGTTTTGGCCACGTTTGGAACGGTCGTGAATATTAATGAGCTCAGCTCAGCTCAAAATAGTCTAAATTCTGATTATACTCAAAAAGGGACAGCCAAAGATGTATTTAGAGTTGTATTTTTAAGCTATAATGTGTAAGATTTGAGTAACCACAAACACTTTGATGTCTTTGACAATTCATACATGAGGTGGAAACACAGAGGCAATCGGCTCCACACCTGACCAGGTGGGAATGTGGGAAAGCCAGCTCCTCTCCTTTTCTTCAATTACATTTGAAGCATCCCCGCAACCCCTCTCTGTTCACTCACCCTCTCTTCATACATGCTCACACAGAATGGACATTTCAAAGTACGAAGGATCTATATCAATCTAAGTGACTTCATCTATCGTGTTTGATATAATTTGAAATATCTCTCAGAAATAGACAATCAAAATAATAGATATATAACTTAAAGTATCTTTTGAACCACTGCTAAGGGTGTGGCTTTACCTAGGGGATTCTATTCAAATGACTATTTGACCCTATAGGCAGAGACTCTTCAGATCTAACATGACACTAAATGCAAATGCCTTTTGTTATTCAACACACCCCTTTCCTTGGTTTGACTACTTAAGGGATAGTTTCAAAATGTTCAGGGCGATTCTGTAACCAGATTAGCCTGTAGTGTGGAGCTCTCATGCTCCATACGATGTATATTTTGATCTTGGATTCATCATTGAGAATTTGATGTCTTGTATTGATCATTTATGAATTGACTGAATTAATTGGCATAATACACATTTACCTGGTTAATAAAATATGTTTTGAATTATTAACCCTTGGGTCTGAGGGTGTTTTGGGGCTCTGGAGATATTTTGACATGCACTGACATTTGTGTTTTCAGTATCTTAAAAACATATTATTGGCTAAAGCGTGATAACACTGTAAACAGCACAAGTTAGGCTACAATAATACCCAAGCAGCATGTTTTTATGTGTTTGTGTTTTTGAGAAAGAAACGTTTATGTTTGGTTAGTGAAAAACTAACATTTTAAAGTCACTGAAACAAGGCCGTGAAACACACAGAGAACATTTGTGCACAAGACTTTTGAGAACTGGATCTTGTAGCCTACTGTTTTTGCTTCAAAATGATGTGAGACTCATCTTGCTTACTTGCTCACAGAAAACAGTAGGCCTATAATGAATAAAAATTTCTAAGTCACTTTTTGAGTGCAAATGGTCTATGCGAGAAGGCGTGAACAATCCTTACTATGCCTGAGAAGACACAGACCTGCATAATGAGCTGCATAAAGAGAAAAAATAAGCGGTAACACTTTAGATGAATTAACATTTCACACATTAACTAGACTCAAACAAATGGCGTTTGCTGTTATACTACATTTTTTTTGAGAGATTTATAAAATCCTTTTGATGTGCTTGATTTACAGGAGCGAGCTGCTAAATGGAGGACCTCAGATGGTTTGATGGATGGACTAACAACCAATGGGGTGCTTGTAATGCATCCAGCAGGGGAGTTTGTATCTGAACCCGCTCCAGGGGTGTGGAGGGAGATCTCAGTATGTGGGAACGTCTTTGCCCTTCGAGAGACACGGTCCGCACAGCAGAGGGGAAAACTGGTGAGAATTTGCTTTAATCTATGGTGTGAATCATGAGTTA